GGCTCAGGCAATCCACTCACCTCAGCCTCCCAAAGGCGTGGGATTACAGGCTGAGCCACCGAGCCCGGCTCGGACTAATTTTTTTTTAAGTTTATTGTAGAGACAAGAACTCGCCAAGTTGCCCAGGCTGGTCTCAAGCCCCTCGACTCAGGCAATTCTCTCGTCTCCACTTCCCAAAGTGCTGGGATTATAGGCGCGAGCCACCGTGCCTGGTGGATGGAGCTCTTCAGTCCCCAACAGCCTCTGGCTCAATGGAGCTCAATTTACTGAGGTCCAGGAATCTCTAAGTTAACATATACTGAGTAATCAGGAGGGGCAGATTCTGAAAATGTTCATTCCCACAAGTACCTGGATCACAAGTGGTGCCAGCATTAATTAGTCCCATACTGGGCCCAAAACATTGATTTTTAATAAAGTATTCCCTGGTGTATTGAATCACCATTTCAAACTCCTCTCATCTTTATGGTGAGTTTTCTCTCAAGGACCGCCACTGCTTTCTTCTACCATGCCTTCATATCACTGGCCATTTACTCAGTGAGGGCTACCATTGTCCCTCAGACTCAGACTTCTTTATGACTTTTTTTTTTTGAGACAGGGTCTCACTCTGTCACTCAGGCTAGGTGTAGTGACACAATCCAGATCACTACAAACTTTAATTCCTGGGTTCAAGTGATTCTCCCACCTCAGTCCCTCTGTCCCACAGTAGCTGAGACTACAGGTATGCGCCACAACACCCAGCTAATTTTTTTCATTTTTTGTAGAGATAAGATCTCACTATATTGCCCAGGCTGGTCTTGAACTCCTGGGTTCAAGCAACCCTCCCACCTTAGTCTCCCAAAGTGTTGGCCTTCTTTAAGACTCAACAGGTGGATATTTGTTTATCAATTCCTTTTCTTTGAACACTTTCAAAAGTTTTTTTAAAAATCATTTTCAAAAAGTTCCTTTACTCAGCACCCTGAAATCAAATGGAAGTAGATATTTTTGAGGAGGGGTGATACTAACCAACAAAAACTAACTCCTAGGCCTTGCCCAACCAAAAATGGACAGATAAATGTCTGTTATCTGCTGCAGTTAAAAGGGAGCAGAAAGTGAGAAGTCTTAGAATCCTGCTGGCCACTTGAGCAGGGCCCCCACAACTGTAAACTCCTTTAGGAGAAGGACCATTGGAATGAAGTGAGCTCTGTAACCACAACGACACTCTGGACGTCAGCTTTGCAAATCCAGCAATTCAGTATCACCACTGTGATGGTTAATTTTATGTGTCAGATTAAACACTGTATCAGATAATAGTGCCCAAATTAAACATTGTTTCTGAGTGTGTCCATGAGGGTGTTTCCAGATGAGAACAGCATTTGAATTGGTGGCATCATCCAATCACTTGAGAACCCGAATAGACAGAACAAAAGGCAAAGGAGGAATTTGCCCCTCTTTTCCTGCCTTACTGATGAGTTGGGATATCTCATTTTACCTTCTGCCCTCGAACTGGGATTTATATCACCAGTTCTCCTGATTTGGACCTTTTGACTTAAACTGAATTACATCACTGGCTTTCCTGGATCTCCAGCTTGCAGACACAAATCATGGAACTTCTCAATCTCTAAAATCACATAGTCGATTCCTCATAATAAAACTCTTCTAGGCCGGGCTCGGTGGCTCAGCCTGTAATTCTGCGCTTTGGGAGGCCGAGGTGAGTGGATTGCCTGAGCCCGCGGGTTCGAG